AAAAAAAGCGCACAAAACCGTTGGCAGACCGCGAGGCGGCGATCGTAGACGAGGCATTTGGCTGTCTATATAAAAAAAAAAACGTAGCGATACTCGGCGCTATAAGGCGCGGTGAAGCGGGGCTGAGTAGCGTGGAAAAGTGGTATGCTAAAGTGAGCAGATTAGTTGCAGTAGCGGAGCGGAGTGGAGACGGCTGTGTGGCAAGTGCGTTTCGTTGGAGTGAGGGCGAAAAACAACTGCGGCGCAACAGTTTGACATGGGAATGTATGCGGTTTCTGGGTAGGTATGCAAAACGATGGAGCAGAACTTTAACAGGCAAACTAAAAGAAATATAAAGAAAAAAGTCTTACCTACAGATAGCGCTCACAAACACATGACTTTACACTTGTTGCATTGTTGAAGGTGCGCTTATAGAGTTGTAGCATACAAACTGCACGGACACTGTTGCTGCCTCTGAAGCGACGAGAAAGATTAATTTTCATTGTTAATTGGTGCAATTAATTATTTACAAGTCATCGTTTGGACAGCAGCGATTAAAGTCGGCCAAGGAGCCTGACAACTTGGCCTATCGGCGGTACACGGCTTAGCTGTGAACGTTTAGGGGAATGGACATGCATTTATTTACATAACTACAACGACTAAATGACTTCATTTCGAGCAGGCCTGTTAAAGACGTTTGATAAAAACCATAATAACTTTACTAGCCTACAGCAAACTATAACTATACATAGACACAAGATATTGTGGACTATGCATAGTGCGACCCAAACTGGTTGCCACCCTGTTGGTGGCATCCCCACATCCATATTATTATCCTATACGCGCGACGGTAATTTAGAAAAGATCTTAATGTGTCGATATCTGTTTTGGAGATAAGTTTGCGAAACACGATATCAGAAAAAAGATACGGATTGGTCAAAAATTTAATAGAAAGTCTGTCCAGATCCAAAATCACTTGAATCTTGAAAGTTATAAATGCAAGTTTGAACACTAGAAGGACATAATAATTAATTAGGTATATAATATTTTCACGTGGCTTTAAATTTGGAGCACTATATTACCTACTCTTGGTTCGATAAAGGTTAAGGGCATTCTAATTCCATGATTAGATAGAGGTAGGTACATAAAAGTTTACTTCTTAATCCGTTGCGTTTGCGTACTCAAATTATTCTTATTTTTACATCAAATATAGTTTTATGTGACACTCAATAGAGCCCGAAAGGGACGAGCCTTTGTCGGAAGTTCAAATAGAAATATCTTTATTAGTTCGTTTTCTAAAATCTGAAATATCCATTTAAATAGCTTTCGAAGTCGGAACAAGAAAATTGATATAGCATTAATGATCAATTCATCCCTCACCTTTCGAGTTGCGCCTAATTCAATACGCACTGTCAGCAGCGCGGTACACCATCGTTTCGTGAAGTATCATCTTATCAATGCAGACTTCAACCGCTGGGATACTATCCTCCAGTTCGCACCATTCCACATATACCCCTATCACTTGCTACCGGGAAGGATATACAGGAAACTACACGTGCGAAAGGATTTTTGGAAAGCAATGAGCACTGTCAATGCGCCTTACCTACGATACGTACACAACAGTCATCAGACTGATTGTAACCCATGGGCCCTTAGTTTAATGAAAAGCTCCCGACAAAGAAAATAATGGCACATCGACATATCGGCAGCTGCGTAGCTTTGCCCATGATACGACGTCAAAAAGCGCC